CGTCATCATCATCATCACCATCGTCATCATCATCATCATCATCCTCATCACCACCATCGTTTATCATCGTCATCACTTTTCCTCCCGCGCCTCGCGACGATTTGTTCTTCATGGGGGCCCTATCGTTGGCTCTTGACAGGGACCTTCGTCCCCTGCCAGAGTGACGAAACGGTCCTGTCGGACGGGCACCTCCTAGGGGCTTGGACCTCGTCGGACCTCCCTCCCTGTTCTCCTCGCAGTGGCGTGCGATCCTCCCCCTCCTCGCCGATGCGGAGCTTGCCGGCGGTGCTGGCCGCGGTTGAAGATGGGGAGTTTGGTTGCGGAGGCGCCGCCTCCGTTCTTAGTTCGCTACAGCGGTGTGATCAGCGCGTGCGAGAAGGGCGAGAAGTGGCAGCGGGCCTTGGAACTGCTCAGCGGGATACCGGAAGCGAAGGTGGAGCCGAACGTCATCAGCTACAATATGTTGGTCAGCGGGTGCGAGAAGGCCAGATGTCTCTCCCCAGGGGGCTGGTTCCCCCATGAGTCGAAGCAGGGTTCCTTCATGAGCGCAGCGCGTGCGTAAATCGGCACGTGCCGGAGCAGCCGCCAGGGCGGGATCGCGCGTGCCGCTGAGCGTCATCTCCTGGACAGGGGTGGAGCGCCAGAGGCCTCCTGGTCGCACGCGTCCCCTCGCGCACTGCCAGTCTTGGCCCGGTTGCTTTTTGTTTGGCTGTTTCCAGTGAGGAGCGTTCTCGCTCGCCCGATGTAGGCGAGGGAGCGACCTCCCTCCTCGATCCTCCTCGATCCTCGATCCTCTTCGATGCCCCTCGGCAGTGCTCCTCCCACAGAGGGGGGCGAGCGTGAAGCGAGGGTTGCCGTCTTTCGGGGAATTAAGTTGAGACAAGGGTAGTTGGCCTCGAGGGGCAATTTTGTCGCCCCGGCTGAACGCAGCTCGGGCAACTGGCGCGTTTGGACCCTGGGAGGGCTCCAGAGACTGATGTTGAGCTGCCGTTGTCTCAATTCGACCTGCTCCAAAGGAATGTGAACGCAGACCCTCGAATGGAGGTCGATACTGGTCCTCGTCTTTCCTCCATCTCCTCCTCATCCATCCTCCTTCCCCTTCCCGCGCTCCTTCTCATTCTCTCTCTCTCGCTCTTTGTCGGCTTTTCAAAGCACTGGTTGCCCATGGAGCTGAGATCCCTGATGCTGGTTTTCTGTACCAGACGCAGAGGGGCAAGGAATCATGCTATTGATATGCTCCAGGATTTTACAGTATGTCCAAGATGACCCACAGTTTTGCTCCTCACGTGCTCCAGAACCGAGGGCCTCCAGATACTCAGCAAACGTAGCTTTCCTGAGCCAGTCGCACCATGATATCATCTTCGTTGCGCGGGCATCTGACGGGACAATGAAAGGGGATCCCTCGCGCGTTCTAACTCCTTCCACTCCTCCTCCTTCAGGGGTCAACGTATGGGGAGATTTGCCCAGGGGGATACACATCGAACCCCAATCGCCCATTGATCGCCGAGTGGGGTCCGATAGCCCACCCCTGCCAGGACCGCTCGGATTCGCTGTCGGGGGCCTGTCGCCCATCTGTCGGCGATGCACGCCGACTGAAGATCGATGCTTCCCCCCTCCCCTGAGCTGGTCCCCGTCTGGCGTTACACCCATCACGCCTTCCTCCGCTGCGGCTCTTTTCCTGACGGACACGGAGCTGCACAAAGATGAACGTTGGGATGTCCGCACGGACTTCCTGGATCGGCGCCAGGCCCCCCCTCCCCCGGCGCCGCCCGGCGCCGCCTCTGCGGCGCCGCCCCTCTGGCGCCGTCCCTCTGGCGCCGCAGGGTCCAGCGCTGATCCAGGAAAGCCACGCGGATAAGTCGGATGAAAATAAACATGGAATCAGTTCGGGCTTAGGGTGCTGGAAGCCTCCCTCGTCCGCGTGTGCGCTTTTGCCTTGGCCTCTGAAAAGTGTTCGCTCATGATGTGGCTTGTCCTTCCAGTCCTCCTGCCTCGGCCGATGTGCCGACTGGTCCGCACGTGGCGAGTGCCCTCGCAGGCTCGCGCATAGCCAGGGCGCTCGTCTACATACGTACCCAGAAGTGCCTGGGCGAACAGGACGGAGGATCATGAAGAATAGTATAACTCCGAACGACCTTTGATAACATAGTGCAGCTGTAGCTTAGCTCATGCCCCCGTCTTTGCATCAGGGATAAGACATGCTCAGATGCATTTGTTTTTGCGAGCCAGTGGGCAGGACCGAGGGGGCACAGTCGCCAACACCGCGCACGGGCGCGCATGCCAGGTTCAGCACACACGCCTGAAACAAACGTTCACACGACGCGGAACTGTCAAACAGAATTGTCTAACAGACTGTCAACAGGGGTGCTGAAGAAGGAACCTCTTTCGTTGGGGAGGGGCTCCGTGTTCCTTGATGGTTTCACAGTTTGCCTCAGGTTTTCCCTAGGGCTTCGATGTGACATCGAAGCTGAACTTGTGGAATCAGGGGCCTCGTTCCTTGGTTCGGGTTCCTTAGGGCATCGCCCCGACTGTAAGAGTGACCCTGCGCCGGAGTGACCGTTGGTGCGGGCCGAGGAGGGTCCCCCCCCCAGGCTCGGGCCTGCGCGCGTGGAGTTGGCCTATACCCGCGGCCTCCAAACAAGCCGCCCACCAAAGGTCGCTCTTACGTAAGGTCACGCTTGTGTGCAGTCGGGAGAAGATGGAGAAGATGGAGAAGGGGCGGTGGAGGGGGTAGTTGGGGAGGAGGGGGAAGGGAGGAGGGGACGGTGTGGAGTAAGTTCAGGCGAGGAGGAGCTGGCGGGTGATGACGGGGAGGGCAGACCGAGGAGGGAGGAGAGAGGGGGGGGAGGAGGTTGACGAGGGGTGATGAGGAGGATGGGGGTGAGGAGGGCGGGAGGGGGTTTCTGGGGGAGGTTGGAGAAGCAGACGGAGAGTAGGAGGTAGGAGGGGGGAGAAGAGAGAGCAGGATGAGGAGCAACGAACAAGAGCAAGATGTATAATTCAGAGGAGGATCAGGAGGAAGGAAGAGAACACGGGAAAGAAACAGATGACGAGGAGGAGAAGGAGAAGAAACGAGATACGTATAATACGAATGAGTAGGAGGAAGAGGAGGAGAGCGCGTGACACGGGCTACAGAGTCTCTGCGATGGACTCGTACCTCTTGAGCGCCCCAGAGAGGCTACGTCCTGAACTCCCCAGATAGGCCTCGTGGAAGAGGAAGAGGAGGAGGCGACGCCATTTGGGCTCAATGAACTCGGTGTGTCGCCATGCAGATCAACCACAGCTTAGGTCAATCCAATGTGGCTCGATGTGACCTGGGATGGCAGTCTACCGTCCCGGCGAGTTTTCCGCACAGATCTTGCCTCAGCGGTGGCCGATAGGCGCGGGACGGTAAAGACGTGGAGCGCAGCGCTGCAGCTTCTTCGGGAAGCGTCTCGAGCACGTGTGAAAATCAGCGTGGGCCTGTACTGTGCGACTGTCAGCGCGTGCGGAAGAGGGAAGCACTGGGAATCCGCGCTGTCGCTCTTCAGCGAAATGCGTGCAACAGAGGTGGAGTCGAATGTCATTTCTCTTACAATGCAGGAGCCTGCGCTTTCCAGAAAGGCCTGGGAACCGATGTGGGCTTTCTGCCCCCCCTCCCCCCTCTCGGAGTCTGAATCACGCTCCTTGCGCTTCCCGCGGCGGACGTTTTTGCGACCCACAGAGCCCCCAAGACGTCCCCGGACGGCCCCAGATGGCGCCAGAGGGGTCCCAAGACAGGACCCTTCAAGATACCGCCGTGCAGGGCCCCCAAGATGCGAAGATCGTCGAGACTGTGCGCTTTTCGGCTCCAGGTGGCTCCAAGCAGGGCTCTAGAGGGCCGCAGAGGCTTACAAACAGCCCTCCAGAGGGCCCGACGGTAGCTCAAGATGGGTCCGTCTGGCTTCCCCCATGTCTCCAAGACAGCCTCAGGACTCGCAAGACCATCCCAATGCACCCCCCGACCGCCCTTGGACCCCCCACCCAGAACAGCACGCAGAGGACCCAAGGAACGACCAGATGGTCTCGGGAGGCCTGGAAGGTCCCCACGCGCGGGAGCCCAGGAAGTCCCAAAGAAGGCCCCAAGTTGGCCCCAAGAGAGCCCCAATTGTGAAATTCGTATGGTGGCAGTTCCCCACGCTTCTCCTCGCTCTTTGATCCTCACTCCTCGCCCGCTGGTCGTCACTTCTCGCCCGTCTCTCCTCGATATTTGCCCCTCGTGTCTCACACTTCCTCGCCCCTCCCTCATCTCATCTCGCCGGCCCCCTCGCTCCTCCCGCTTGGCTACTCTGTGCTGTCCGCTTCTCAAGCATCCCTCCTCGCTCCTTGCTCGTCGCTTCCCGCTTCTAACTCATTGCCCGTTACTCCGCGCCTTTTACTTGCTGCCTCTCCTTGATACTTGCCCCTCTCATCAGACTCGTCTTTTCGATGTGCTTCTCCTCGCTCCACGCTTGGCCCCTCACTCCTCCCTGTGGCTACTCTTACTTCCATCCCCCTCCCCCCTCCTTCCCCCCGGCTCTCCCTCATCCCTCCCCGCCTTGCTTTCCTCGGCCCGTCACTCCGTGACTCCTCACTTATTGTTCCCCGGCCCTCGCCGATCGCCTATCGTGTCTTCTTCCCCCCTCTTCGGCCTCTTCGATCCAGACTCCTCGCTCCTTGGTCCTCTCCTGGGCAGCAGGTTGCGCCAGTAAGTTGAAGCAGGGAGACACAATCGTACAGCACCAGGTAGCAGCAGCAGCAGCAGCACGAAACACAAAGGACGAAGCAGGCTGTGTCAGCACACAGCAACAGCAAGCCGCATCAGGCAGCAGACAGCACCCTGCAGCCACAAGCAACAACATAACGATCATATCCATCATCACACAACAGTTCGTACAGAGCCCGTGGACGTGGTCCAGGGATGACTAGTAATATACAGCGCTGGAATTAGCGCATGCGAGAAGGGCGAGCAGTGGCAGCAGGCTGTGGCATTGTTTTGTGAGATGCGGAATGCGAGGATTGAGCCCGACGTGATCAGCTACAGCTCTGGGATCAGCGCGTGCGAGAAGGGCGAGCAGTGGCAGCGGGCTCTGGGGCTGCTGAGCGAGATGTGCGAGGCGAAGCTGAAGCCCAACGTCATCCGTATTGCAATTCCGGGTGCCAGCGGGTCCCCGAGCCGGTCCCAGCTGGCCCCAGGACAGCTCTCATGGTCCGAGTCCCAAGAGGGTGGCAGGACGGCACAAGAGGATCCGAAGCGACCCTCACGACGGCCCAAGAGGGCCCGAAGACCGACCAGAAGGCCCCACAGACGGCCCAAAAACCAAGCAAATACATGGTTTGTTCAAAACGGTTTTTCGCACTCTCCCTATGACGAGTCCAGGACGGCCTCACAAGGCTCCAGGTCTTTCCAAGATCGCCCCAAGATTGCCCAAGAGGCCCCGAAGAAGGCGCCAAGAAGGCCCAAGAAGGCCCGAAGACGGCCCAAGACACCAGGCGGCCCAACAGCGTCGAGTGGCCCCCCAAGGCAGCCCCTAAGAGGGCACCGGGAGCTGCCAAAGAGGGCCCAAAGCAGGCTCCAAGACGGTCCCAGACCCCCCCAACATGGCCCCAAGATGCCCAAGAAGCCCTCGAGAAGGCCCAAGAGGGCCCCCAAATGGCCCAAGAGGCCCAGGTGGCTGTCCAAGAATGACCACTCCGTGATGCCTTAGAGCCTCCCAATAAACGCCGACAATTGCCATAGAGCTCCACAGAGAGTACCCAGCCCCAGCACCTTTCGCAGTTTATGGATTTCCCTGACCCCAAAGAACGCCCCCCGCCCACACGCAGAAGAAGGCCCCAGACCACTCCTAGATACCCCAAGTCTTCCCAAGAGACTTCGATGTTGCTTCGGACCTCCCAAGAGAGCCTCAAACCCTGGCACCTTTCGCCGTCCGTAGTACCCTGGTAGCCCAAGAGAAATTCAGAAACCCAAACAAGGCCCGAGAAAGCTCCTCTCCCTGTTCTCCTCTCTTATCATCCCCCTCTTCTTCTTCCTCCTCCTCATCCTGCTCCTCCTCCTCCTCCTCCTCATCCTCCTCCTCCTCCTTCTGCTCGCCTCCCTTCCTCTCACCCTCTCCTCCTCTCCGCCCTGTACACACCAGCAAGCCTCGCCCCCCCCCTCCCCTCCCGCCTACGCCCGATTAGGGGTGACATGGGGAATCGCCACGACGGTAGACCTAAGACGTAAAGAAAGCCCCAGACCCTAAACAAGGACACGGATAGCTCCTCTCCCCATTCTCTTCTCTTATGTTCTTCCCCCTCCTCCTCCTCCTCCGCCTCCTCCTCTGCATTTAGGGGCCTCCCCCCTCCTTCTTTGGTGCCGCTCTCTCTCTCTCTCTCTCTTTCTCTCTCTCTCTCTCTCTTTTGTTTGTTCTCTCTCTCTCTCTCTCTCCTTCATCTGCTCGCATTGGCGACACCTGAGCGCTCGGGGCTGACACTTCGACATGCCTACTATGGATTTCCCACGGGTGCACGCTAGTCAGCTACAGCGCTGCGATCAGCGCGTGCGGGAAGAGCGAGCAGTGGCAGCATGCTTTGGCGTTGGTCGGCGAAATGTGTGAGATGACGTTGGAGCCCGACGTCATCAGCTACAGTGCTGCGATCAGCGCGTGCGAAAAGGGCGAGCAGTGGCGGCTGGCCCTGTCACTGCTCAGCGGGATGTCGGAGGCAACGGTTGAGCTCAATACCATCACTTGCAATGCAGTGATCAGTGCATGTGAAAAATGTAAGCAGTGGCAGCAGGCCCTGTCACTGCTCATCGCGATACATGATGCGAAATTGGAACCCGACGTGATCAGCTACAGTGCTGCGATCAGCGCGTGCGAGAAGGGCGAGCAGTGGCAGCGGGCCCTCTCGCTGCTCAGCGAGATGTGGTCGGCGAAGCTGAAGCCAAACGTCATCAGCTACAACGCTGTGATAAGCGCATGCGGAAATGGCGAGCAGTGGCAACGTGCCGTAGCTTTGTTTAGTGAAATGGCAGCGGCGAAGTTGGGGGCCGACGTCATCAGCTACAGTGCCGGGATCACCGCGTGCGAAAAAGGCAAGCAGTGGCAGCGAGCTCTTGTGCTACTTGGCGAGATGTGGGAGGCGAAATTGGAGCTACGCGTCATCTATATGTTTTAAGGCTGAGGGCACCGCGTGCAGGAATGGCGGGCATTCTAGTGGCTCTCTCTCTCTAGGGGCACCCGATCGCCCCTGGGGCCTTCCAAGGCCCAAGAGGGCCTCAAGAGAGCTCCAAGACGTTCCAAGTGAGGCACTGGACGCTAGACCTTCCAAGTGGTCCCCAAGACGGGAGGGCTCCAACGTAGCCCAAGAACGCCCTAAGGCGGCCCAAGATGGCCCAAGAGGCCCCCAACACGTCCCCAGACGCTTCCAAGAGGACCCTGAGAGGGCCTCCAGGATCAGAAGCAATGAATCCTTGTGGTTTTCGAATGATTTGCCGATGCTCGTCGGGACCCGAGACGCCGAGGACCGCCCAAGAAGCCTTCGAGATCGATCCACGATGGCCCAGCATGCCCCAGAGGGAGCCCCAAGAAGGCCCAACAGGGCTCCAAGACGGCCCAGCAGGGCTCCAAGAAGGCCGAAGAGGCCGCCAAGATGGTCCCAAGACGTGCTCACGGCGGCCCAGGAACGCACCAAGATGGTTCCAAGGCACCCCCTCGAAAGTCTCCAGAGGCTCCATGGCAGCCAACGGATCCCCAACGAATGCCCATGCCACCCCCAAGAGGCCATTGACAATCATGCCGAGATGCCTCCCTCTACGAGGCCCCAAGAGATACCCAAGAGGTCCCTCCCGCCTCCTCCCTCCTCGGCTCTTCCTCCTCCTTCCTCGCCACTCTCTTCTCGGCCGTAGCTACTCCCTTCTCGCTCTTCGCTATTCGCGAAATCGCTCTCCTCTTCTTCCCCCTCCCTCCTCGACCTCCTCGATCTTGCCTCCTCGATCCTCTTGTGGCAGCAGGTTGCGCCAGCAAGTTGTGTCAAGCAGCAGCAGCAGCAGCGAACGGCAGCTGCGCAAAGCAGACAGCAGCAGCGGCAGCACACAGCAACCACAAGCATCGTGCAGCGGGCAGGCAGCAGCACGCACCAAGCAGGACTGGCCATCAGCAGCACCCTGCAGCCATAAGTACCAAGACGCAGCGGCAAGCAGTCCCAGAAGCACGCAACAGCGGAAGCAAGTAGCAGTCTGGAATGCGAGTGGCGAGCCCCACCGTCTCATTTCTCAGCCGTTCGGCATCATGTCCACAATCGCATGCTACGTCATGCACATATTGTGCACGTAGTCCATGGGTCAGCCATAGTCAGCTACAACGCTGCGATCAGCGCATGCGAGAAAAGCGAGCAGTGGCAGCAGGCTTTGATGTTGCTCGACGAGATGCGGGAGGCGAATGTGCACCCCAATGTTATCAGCTTCAACGCTGGGATCAGCGCGTGCGAGACTCAGTGGCAGCAGGCTTTGTCGCTGCTCAGCGTGATGAGGGAGGCGAATGTGGTACCCGACGTCACCTCTCCTCCTAGACGGCAGGCATACTTGCGCGCGAGAGGGACCTGGGGACCGCTTGAGTCCCCGGGCCCCCTGGGGCGGCCACAGAGTTCACAGGGCGCTGCGCGACGGCCCTGGAGGGCCCCCAGACAGCGCCAAGACGGCCCCAAGACGCTCCCGATGGTGTCGAGGCGGGTCCAGAGGACTCGCAGAGACCCCCAAGACGGCCCCAAAGAGACCCCCCAGGCCACGAGGCCACCAAGACGGCCCAGGAGTTC